AAAAGAATTTCAGAGTCTCAAGGAAGAGCATAGAAATTAGAAAATGTGCTATAATCTTAACTCAAGAGTTTGACATTTCAATTCAAATTCAACTTTATTACCAAGTGTCACAAAGGCTGAAATAGCACCTAAATATGACCTTCACAATTCAGTGACGAACACAATCTTATTGTGGATACACTACAAGAGCCTCAAAGACAGGGATAACCACAGACTGAGACAACAAAAACACAGCAAAAAGAACCCTCAACTAGCAAACAATATTCATGTTCTTAGGAACAAACTTAGACAAGTTTCATCATCATTAAAACAGGGATCGTAATACCTACAATTCATATATGTAAACTATGATTGTGTTAACTATACCTCCTATTTGAATTTAGGTATTACTATAAAACAGCAGGTGTTATACAATGCCCACCATAGTGTAGCCAAGTCAGCTTGTCAAAATGAAGAGCTGAACAGGTCACCTCCATTGTTTAAGACACTTTTATGATGTCCCACTAATCTTAGGATAAAGACTAAGAACCCCATAACAGCCCACAAGTCCTTTACATAGCCAATACCTTCAAACACTCTGTGGTTTATAGAAAATGCTCTGGTTTTCTGAAAAGGTAGATTTCAGAAATTTATTTGCAAGGTTCCTATATGATATTCATGGCTGAGATCAAGTCATCTAAGGACCTCTTGGTAGTTTCTAATCTACAAACGATATTTACCTTGCCAACTGAACAAGAAGGCCAACAAGTGAACGAATTCCTTCTCCCATTAGAGTATTCAACTTAAGCTCCTCATAGACAAGGTGAAGAACAAAAAAAATTGCAGGTATATGAGTAAACAGAAGTGTAGAAGAATCCAGAATGAGATTCTGTGAAAAATCCTCATCCTTCATCTGTGAAACTTCCAAAGGACTTAAACATAAAGATCTATTCAAAAGATGAGACTCAACATTCTGGTGGTAGTCTGAATTTAGTAAATACTCCCAGTCCTGAGAAAAATAAAGAAGATATTATTTTTTTAAATAATGCCTCCTTGTAATGTCATCATTAAAACAATTCAAGTTCTATTTTCACATTAAGTTGGAAAAAAATCACAATGCTTAAAAATTAGACCCACATCAAAATAGCTAAGCAATTTCCAGATGCCAGCAATAGACATTAAGACAAACCACTTTTCAAAACCCATTTGAAAAATTTTAGTCATGCCCTATTAGGAAATAGACTGAGAGAAGAATCCCACTATTTATAGAGATTGAGAAAGAAAATTAAGATTATCTTAGGTGATTTCTTATGAAGCCAAAAGTAAAGAATAAAAGGTGGGAAGTGTAGATAGGCAAGTTTAGTGACCACTACACTGATCCGTGTTTTGGTAAGGGGAGAAGTCTACTTGTATCTGGTTAGTATATTCATCTATGTTTATAGGATGCTGGAGCTAGCAATAACAACCTAATAACCAACTGAATTTTATATTCACACTGATTGTACTCCATTTTCCAAGTACTGAGTCTGTTTCTGTTTTTACTTTGATTTATTGTACTGTGTTGAGAGAATATGATTTATGCTATTTTCGGGTCCTGGAATTTACTGATGTTTTTGTAAGGTTTAATACAGTGTGTTATTCTAACTTAAACACTCTTGGACCAGATACAGCAAGAACAAACCATAAAAGTAAAATATTGGTAAGATGAGTAACTAAAATTTTTAAAAATCTGTTCATCATCATATACCGAGAGAAAATATTCCCAAAACATACACAACAAAGAACTCATATCCAGAATATACAAAAAACTTCTACAGCTCAATAAATATTTTTAAAAATCCAATTAAAAAACTGTAAAAAGCTGGAGCAGAAACTTGACAAAAAGATATGTAAGTAGCTAATAAGCACATAAAAAAGTGTTTAACATCATTAGTCATGAGGAAAAGGCAAATTAAAACCTAAGAGAAACTACTTTATACACTCAAATAGTTAAAATGAAAAAGACTGACAACAGCAAATGCTGGCCAAGATGAAGAACAAGAGGAACTCTCATTTATCACCGGTCAGATTGTAATGTAGTATAATGAGTTTGAGAACCAGCAATGATCCATCAATTTCACTGCTAGGTATTTACCCAGAAGAAATGAAAATACATGTCCACAAATACTTGTCACTGAATACTGATGGCAGCCTTATTCATAATAGCCAAATAATGGAAAAAGCCTAGGTATCCATCAGCAGAAGGATGTATAAACAAACTATGGTATATTCACACTACTCAGCAATAAAAGGCACAAACTGCTGATATCTGCAACACCTGGGATGAATCTCAAAAACATCACACTAAATGAAAGAAATCTTTATACCAAAGATTATGAACCACATTATTTCATTTATATCCAGTTCTAGAACAGGCAAAATTAACTTATAGTGATAGAATTCAAATCAGTGGTTGCTTCAAGAATAGAGGAAGGGAAGGAAGGGAATGATTAAAAATGGCACATGGAAACTTTATGGAATAACGGAACGGTTTTGTGTTTTGAGAGGGGTTATGGGTTACATGAGTGTTTACTTGTCAAAGTTTATCAAACTGTAAACTTCAGATCTAAGCATTTCGTTTATGTAAATTACACCTCAATTTAAAAAAATCTTCTTAATCACTTAAGAATATACCCATGGAATCAAGTATGACTGAGGACCTAAATCAGAGGATTAATTAGCAGTAAAATAGCTACAAATCCAAACTCAAATCATGTGTATTACCTATGTTCAGTAATTTTTAGATGATCATTAAAGACAAAAGTATATGAATAACCACAGAAAACCTAACATATCCAACCTTCCAGATAACTGCTATTCAGTATTAAAATGAAGCAAAAGGTGTCAGAAATATACACAAATCAACAAGAGTACCATGTCTGTAGATTCTAGTACAAGTACCCACAAATTACTTTGTAGTAGCAAGAAGTAAGAATGCTTACATCATCAGATCCTGTCTCAGAAGGCCTTGCTTTTTTGGGTGCAATGACTGGGGAAAGTGATCCTTCAAAGTCAAACTGAAAGACAACCCCAAAAAAGATAAAATCATATAAATTAACTGATCAACTCAAAGAATTCAGATATCAGTTTCACCAATTATGGAAACTAAGGAAAGTCACCAAAACTCATTTTTTCATCTGGAAAAACATGGTATGAATACTTTTCCTCTCAGATTACTGTGAAGAAGAAATGAAATCATAGATGGAAGGCATCTAGTACAGTGCCTCGGCCCACAGGCACTGCAATGGTGGTTTCCTTTCCTCCCCGACTTCTGTGATGACACGGATCACCACTACTTTAGTAGAGCAAGGACCTTTAGCCATATCCCAAATATGCTAAGTATAACCCAATGTTAGCCAAATGTCAGAACCAAGCAGACATTTATTTAGAGTCTGTCTATAGAGGACAGGCTAACAATTCTATGGCAGAGACAGGTAGCTACTCTTCAAAGAGTTCTCCTTTTCTCCTGGACCCACAGCCAGGCTACATATCCCTGCCTCCCTCAGAGTTAGGTATGGCCCTGTGACAGTGTGACAATGAATGAAAGTGGGTGTTAGGGATGCCTGGGTGGCTCAGTCGGTTAAGCGTCTGCCTTCAGCTCAGGTCATGATCCCAGGGTCCTGGGATCAAGTCCCGTGTTGGGCTCCTTGCTCAGCGAAGAGTCTGCTTCTCCCTTTCCCTCTGCCTGCCGCTCCCCCTTCTTGTGCTCTCTCTCTCTCTGGTAAATAAATAAATAAAATCTTAAAAAAAAAAAAGGAAAGAAAGAAAGAAAGTGGATGTTATCACTTCCATGCCCTGTTCATGAAAAACTCCTGTGTATGCTCCTCCAGGCACTTCTCCCTTGTACCTGACTGATAGAGTCAACCCCAGGGCAATCTTTGAAGCCTCATGTTGAAGATGGCAGATGCTCCATCAGCCTGGTGCCCTAGTAATGGTGGAGCCTGTTCACCTGCTAAGTACTGTTATAGGAGCAAGACTTACATTTTTATTGTGTGAGCTATTACATCTTTTGAGGATTTTGTTATATACAGCCTATCCTAACTAATACAGTTACATAAAAGCACTTTTCTCAAAGTTCACTCTTACTCAGTTCCCCCGGCATCACCTTTGCCACCTCTGCTACTTCACATTGGCACTGAACTACCAATTCATCAACCATAAGCCCATAAATGGCAATGGCTATTTTCCGATGCTTTATTATAAAAACTTACATATTTGTCAATCAGTATCACTCATATGAAAATTGATTTCTATATAAAAACTAAAGACAGACAGCAGTAATTTTTAAAGCTGAATATTTATATTACAATATTTCAATATTTAATAAATATGACACTTAAATATTAAATATAAAATGGAATAAAGTAGCTTGTAAAACTGAGTAATTTTTAAAACTGATCATGAGAAAAGGTTTTCTCGTAAAGCATTCAAAGAAAACACGGTCCAACTCACACACAATACTATCAAAAAACAAAATGACAATAATAAAATCAAAGCAACAGATGCATTTCTGTTAGCTATCTTACCTAAACCTTCAACCAAAACTTAGCACATATGTGCACACCTACATACACACATTCTCTCTCTCACATATTCTAAATACCACAATCACAAAGAATGTCCTTGCTATAGTTATCACATTTATAAGACCTAGAATTATGAAAAACGACAACAGAAATTATCTGATACAGATACCTCTTTGTGGCATATATGGATCTATTTTATTTTCATTATTTTAATATTCTGCAGGTTACCCAACCCTGTTATATGCTTCTGTAGATCCCTGACCTTTATCATAAACTGACATAAAATACTTACCTGCCTTCTCCTGAGATTGTCAATTCCATGAGAGGAACTATCTTGCCTAATGAATATCTGAAAAGCCTGGCATCATGCCTGGCCTTCAGCAGAGGTTCAACTTCTAACTAATGAAAATATGACCATCCTGAAGGACACAAAAAGTTAACCCCAGATGCAACCATTCATAGACTGTGAGAACCAGAAGGAAACATCATATGGTCCAGTGCTCTCATTCAACACATCAGTAAATTAAGGAAGGCCCAAAGAAATGCCAAAAATCATGTAACTAGTCATTGGCAAAAATCCTGTACTCCCTAATCTCCACCCCATTATTTAAATGAAAACAAGAAAGGATATATCTGAACAAAGCAAAATTAAAGCCATTTGCCATTGAGGACCATTTCATCCTGAGCTTTGATGTAAGGACAAAAGAATAGCAAGGGTTTAATTATGCAGTCCTATAAATAAATGTGAAAGCAACTCAGCCTCAGAACTGATTTCCTTTTTCCCTTTTAGGACTATTATCCAATAAATAAGTCAGAGAGCCCCGCCCTTCTTTATGAAAGAAAAAATGGTAGGTGCTCAGTCTTCCCCCTAACATGGAAACCTGAGGGGTACCTGGTTCTCTGCTAGAGAATGGAGCACAACAGCCTATATTCATCAACAAGTTCCACAGCACAGTAACACACAACAACTACACAAAGCTGAAGCATTGCAGAAATCCTTAGTTTCTAGTAAGGCTCAATTTCTTCATATTTAATGAAGAATGGGAAAATGTGGAATAAAGTAGTTTTCATGCAACTATTTAAAATAAGAAAATTGTCCCTATTTTCCCAGGAAGGTTTTTCTCAAGGAAATTTCAGAGGGAAATTCTTTCACATGATAAAACACACACAAATTCTTAAATATATTATCTCATTCAGACGTAAAAGAGCATTGATTCCACAAATTCACTGAGCACCCATCTATGCCACACTACTATAGGTCCTAGAGATAGTGAACAAAACTAAACAAAAATCCCTGCTTACACAAATTCACATTCTAGAAGGAAGAGAGACACACAAGCAATATAAATAAGTAAAAATATACAGCATATTTAATTAGTGCTAAGGGAAAAATAAAACAGGTAAAGGGGATAAAAAGTATGGAGAGGGGTAACAATTCCACATGGACAGAGCAGGATGCACTGAGGTGCCACCTGAAAAAGATCTAGGCTTGTCTTATCTGGGGGAAGGCTTTTTCTCTAGCGTTAACAGCAAGTGCAAAGACCCTGAGGCAGGAACACGCATGGTACGTTCCAAGAAGAGTAATGGAAGCCTGTGGGGGGGAACAGTGTGAGCAAGGCAGGGATGAGGAGACAAGATGAGAGAGGTAAGAGAGGGATGGGTCACATGGCACCTTGCAGGCTTCTGGCTTTTACTCTGAGTAGGAAGGGAAGGTACTGGAGGATTCTAAGCAGAGTGACATGACCTGACTTTGTCAGACAGGATTACTTCGGCTGTTGGGCAGAGAAGAAAATGAAACACAGGCAAGGACATGAAATGTGAGTCAAAAAATAACAACTATAAATGACCAATGAGAGGGACTCCTGGCTGGCTCAGTCGGTGGAGCATCCAACTCTTGATCTCAGGGTCCTACGTTGGGCATGGAGCCTCCATAAATAAATAAATAACCAATGAGAATCTGAAAAACCCATTACCATTTACTTAGACAGGAATAAGAGAAAATGTCTCACTAAGTTGGCAAAGGTTCACCACACCACAAATCATCACTATGCTGAAATGGGCACTTCTAAATGAAGCTAGTGAGAATGTCAACTGGGCAACCCTTTTTGAAAATTATTTGACTTAGTAATGGCTCTTCTAAGGTTAAGTTCTTAAGAAGTGACTACAGCTGTAAAGATCTGTGTTTGCAAATTATTCCTAATGAGAAAAGAAACTGATTTAACAATGTTCTATTATTAGTTGTTGGTTAATTATGATAAAACCACATGGTAACCTATTATGAAGATGATAAAATGGGGGGTTCTGCCTAAGAATTTTTTTTTTTAAGATTTTATTTATTTATTTACTTATTTATTTGACAGAGAGAGAGCACAAGCAGGGGAAGCAGCAGGCAGAGGGAGAGGGACAAGCAGGCTCACTGAGCAGGGAGCCCGGTGCGGGGCTCGATCCCAGGACCTTGGGATCATGACCTGAGCCGAAGACAGATGCCCAACAACTGAGCCACCCACGCAACCCAGGAATTTTTAATGATATTGGAACTTTTCATTTATATCATGTTTATCTAAAAGGCAATACAAAGATATTCAGAGTGGTTATCTGAGCAGTATTATTTTCTTAATTCTTCCATTTTCCAGATTTCCCTCAGTAAGAATGTATGTTCATAATGAAGAAAACAATGATTTTTTAAATGGATTTACTATTATAAGACTAAAATGTACAGCTGAGCTACCCAGACAAAGGTAAGTGTGTTCTAGAATGATTTCTTTAGAGTGACCCAGGCAAGGTTGTCCTGGGAGTTATCTCTAGAGCCAAAAGGAACCACCAATACTGAAGACACTACTCTGCTGGTTTTGTAAATAACCTGTTAAAGGCCTGTAAAAAAGCTTCTGGGGTGGAGAGAGAGGGATACAGCTTCACATCATTAACAGAGTCGATACTTAGGCTAAAGCCCTTGAAATTGCCCTCAAATCAAACATTCATCCCCAAAGACTAAGCAATTTGTGTATGAAAACAGCATGGACTACAGAGAAAAACACTAAGCCATCATTCAGAAGACACAGTCTAGGCCCTGTTTGGAGCAAATCACCAGTCTGTTTTCTCTCTGTGATTGAGTTTCTTCATTAATAAAAAAACCAAGATGTTACTACTAATCCTAGCATAACTTGCAGTCATTTTACAAAGATGAAATGAGAAATTATAGTCAAACATGCTTTCCCATGTTATAAAACTCAATATTATAATTACCAGTAAAACATTATCATTAAATATTAAATGACATGTGATTTACCAAATAGATAGATAGACACAATAAGCCTTAGTATTATTCCATTTTGTTGATTAAGGTCTACCTATTAGTAAATTCATCTGTTACGTACTCTAAATACTATATTACCAATTATGCAAACATTACATTGGTAACAACAGAATAACTCAGAAAAAAAAAAAAAAAACAATTATATGTACTTACATTTCTGGTCCATGCTAAGCGGTCTGTGTTATAACCCATCATGTTCATGAGACAAGTCACAAATAAATTCCACTCGGAATGATAACTGGGTCCTCCCGGAGCACTGTGGACACTGTACCACTTGACAAGCATCTGAACAGCTATTTCCTTTGGCAGGATAAACTTAATTGCTTGCAAACATGTTTGCACTATTAAAAGCAAAGATTAATTTTAGTATGCTTCCCATATATATTTCTTTTCCCCTTTTAATAAGAAAGTTTTGTTTTTTTTTAACTACTTCTGTGTAAAGGCCAATTACTCTGAAAAGAGAACTGTCATTACAGAGCCAGCGGGATGCAAACATTCCCTGCCGATCACTTAAAACTTAAACCAACTACTGAATTCAACAGGGATTGCAAGAGGTCTTAGGGCAGCTTTCAACCCACTGATTTTGGGTCAGAAGTAAGACAACCAACAGTCCAGCTTACCTGAGACAGAACTGATTTATACCCACTGCCCCAGCAATGACTAATAGCTCCCCATTTTGTTCTCAAAAATACTCTAGTTTGGACAATAAATTAAAGGTCATTCTATCAAAAACATGTAATTTCTACATGAATAAGTTTATATAAAATACTGCTGAAATACTTCAGTAAAATATGCAATACTCAATATACGCAACCTCAAATAGCAATGCTTAACTATCATTAAAAGATGTTCTCAATGAGTTAACATCCCTATTAACGAAAACTTTGTAACTTTTAATTATTTCTGACACCATTCACTTTATAAATGTTTTACGTAACGGATCAGCCAATACTACGTAATTTATACCTTCCTTAGTGACTCAGTGCCGTTGTAGAAATATCAGTCACAGTGCCACACTGTCATGCTGCTGCACAGAAGAGCCCTGGGTCTGCTTTTGTTAGTTAAATGGCCCCAAACTGCAACGTTTTTGTATTCTCACATCTTCTCTTTAGAGGATTCCCCTATTCCCTTCCCACTGCCACTGTCAACAGGCCCATCCTCAGCAGCATATCCTTTCTCATCAATTGGCTATGTGTGTACACATACAGCAAAGATTAGAGTCAAATAGAATAAATGTTAGAAAACCAAATAACCAGTTTGTCGTGGTTGAATCCAAAATAAGTGTAAACCAGATACCGCCTGAGGGGCTGAGGGATGTTTACAAGTAAAGTACAGAAACTTCCAAGTGAAGTACAGAAACTTATGTGACTTCTATTTGGCTATGAGAGAGCAAGATTTTACTCCCCTTTCATTTATTTTATTTAGTCCATTATTTGTTTTTATATATTTTGTTTAGGTTATACTTCTAAGGTACGTGGCCTTGAAATTATTGGCTAAATACCTCTTAGAAAAGCAAGGTATCTCTATACCTACTCACTGTATCATTTTACCAAACTAATGAAAGAAATTTCCTAAAATTAAAAAGTCATTCTACCCTACTTACCAAATTCCAGAAATCACACAACCTGCCAATATTTTGCTTTGCCACTGAGATTTTGAAACTAATAGATGTTCTGAATTTTCTTATACATCCTTAACTTACAATTGTTGACAAATCCTTTCAATTCTAAAGTTTTACTATTCTCTATTCAGAAATATTCTCCTAGTATTTTCCAAGTTGTGTTTCAATAATAACTTAAGCAGACTCGAATTTTATTAAAATACACCTGACTGTATTTTGACTATAACATTAAGTTTTATTCAATTTAGGCAATTATGTTAATTTCTCAATTTATATAACAACTGAGATATTTATTATATGATTAAAAGCCATCACATATGCCAAAAACTGTTTTAGTTGCTTAGGCTTCCTTGTTTCTCAGATTTTCTGGCAAGAGGCATGTCCACTCACTGCATGGCCTTCTTCAACATAAGAAATCTCAGAGAAACGGAACTAGCACATCTTTCAAATGTACCCCTAGCCTTAGAGCACACATGGAGTAGACACTGAAAAGTGCTCCCCAGCTCTTCACAGCTTCTCTGCAAAGTAAAAACCTCAAACCCACGGCTTCAAAAAAGCAAATTTTTAAAAATCCCAATTACTTTTGCAAATCAGCAAATACTACAAATCTTATCAATCAAACTGAGAATACATGGAAGTGAGGTCTGACCTCAATCATACCTAATTCAGAGGTGGCAATTTCAGGAATAGTGATCCTAACCATGGAGCCATTACTCAATTCCTAGGGGAAAGAACAGAAACAAACAGGAGCATGTAAATAGAATTTGTGCATTCTAAGACTTTGAATGTCTTAAAAATGGCTATGCTTTATAAGACTGCCTGTCAAAGTAAAATTCAATAAAATAAATAAAAAATAAGTATTCTTCAAATGGAACTGAATACTTCCAAATTTCAGAAAGTGTAAATGTGCTTATTTAAAAAACATTTCCAGGGGCACCCAGGTGGTTCAGCCGGTTGAGCATCTGCCTTCGGCTCAGGTCATGATCTCAGGGTCTGACATAGAGCCCTGCGTCAGGCTCCCAGCTCAGTGGGGCATCTGCTTCTCCCTCTCCCTCTGCCTCTCCCCCTGCTCCTGCTCTCTCTCGCTCTTAAATAAACAAATAAAATCTTTAAAAATAAATAAAAACCATTTCTAAGAGTTCTTGTTTTAATGAAATGTTTAATTTTTATACATAAGAGTCACCATCACTAAAAAAGATTAACTTTTAATGAAAAGACAAAAATCCTATCAATATAAAATTCAACTATTTAAACAAGATTTGTTTTCCATAATTTTTAAATAATAAAGCAACTGTAGAAAAGTTAAGCAGAATTACTTTAAAGTAAAATAGTACAAAAAATGACATATTGCAAGAGATTTTAAAAATCATAAAAAATATCTGTTTCATGATTCAGACAAAATCCTGCATTCTGACAAATTTGAAATAACAGTCATATTTCTTAGAGAGCTACCTAATCTTCTAAAAATAAATATACCTACCAGAGTTACTCTGTTACGGACAGGATCTCTTATAGAATGAATGTAAGTTCCAAGCTGCTGGAAAGTACAATCCTCATTATAGAGAGAATCATGAAGTTTTGAAGAATCCCTCAGTTCTGGAACTGGGGAGAACAGAACCACCTATAAAAAGTCATAAATACAACACATATGAAATATTTTTTGAGGAATTAAGGATAAAGAAATCTCTATTTGTACATGGTCTAACAACTGTACGTAATGACTTAAAATCATTCTGCTCTGGGTATGATGAAGTACCTTACAGCAGACCAAGATCCTCACCCAAAGCAACTAGAAAAGGTCAGTAAAACAGTAAAACATCTGATCAATAGCACTGGAGAGCTATGGAGACAACCTAGACCTAAGAGGCCAAGATCTAGGAGAGAAAGAAGGGAGTCACAGGGAGGTGGCCCAAAATTCTTACACCACTTTTCCTGGTCTTGGCATGTGCAATATTTGGTGGGGATATGGTAGGGAGTATGGATACACTGAGTATGCAAGGAAGGCCAATGCTAAGAGGAAGAAGAGATAGCAACACTTCTGGCAATCTTAAAGAGCTAGACACATAAACTATAACTTGAGGCAGCCCAGGCAGAGATGACTTGAGGATCTAAGACCCGAGAGGGAAAGGAGAGCAATGAGAAAGCAAAGAAACAAGACAGGTACATAGTGGTATCTCCCCTATAGCCAAATGTTTGTTCTGAAAATATGAGAACATTTACTTGTTCAATTGCAATTATGCAAACAAAAAACTTAAATGATCTTAGTTACTAATTACATGCAGATGCTCCAGCTTTAGATCCAGTCCTAACCATTGACCCTTTTTATATTCCCATAATTCAAATTATAGGACATCTCTAAGTGAATAGCTTGTGAACACTGACAGCCCATCAAGTATAAGATTATTTATTATATTCAAGCTTCTACTCCTACAGCTGCCACAAAAACTGAGCTCCACTGGTCCTGAATCTAAGTCTAGTTGCACAATCAACCAGAGACGTGGAAAGCCATCGGCCAATGTGTAATACAATGATCTTGTGACCCCATGGCTACCACAAAGACACGAATCATTCCTGGGTTAATGGAATTCTAAGAAAGTTAGGAACCATTTTACATTATAAAAGACAAAAATTCTTCCAAATCACACAAAACTGACACTTCTCCAGCTCCCTTTTGAAAGTTCTGCAAATGTCCTGCTTTGAGGGAAAGAATTCAATGCTGCACATATTTAAAAAATAAAACCAAGGCCTAGACATTAACCAATACAATTCATTGCTTACACCAACCTTCACTTTCAACTTTCCCTAAACATCTGCACCCAAATGTCTCTCAAATACAGACCCCCTTTCTCCAGGCTTCCTAACTTGGTAAGCATGGGTGTCCACCTAGCTTGCTCAGAGAACTTTGAGCCTTGTTCCCCAACATAGCACAAAACCAGTCGGCTGACAGACTCTGCCATTTACACTTCTCCAGAGCTCTCATGTCACTGCCCTCCTTTCCAATATGCTGCCGTAACTCGGATTCTCTTCGCACCTCTTGAATTAACACAAAAAACAACACTTGGAATCTCTTTGGTCTAAGTCCCAAGATAAACATCTAAAACACAGAGCCTAACATTCATAACTCCATCCTCAAAAGCCTGTAATGTTCTGGTGATAGCATTCAGAATAAAAACCTTTTCATCCTTTCTGCCTTTAAGAACATGTTAGTAAGAGTGTAAATCCCAGCTCTAACACTTACTAGCTACATGACTTTAGACAAGTAACCTCCTTATACCTCTATTACCCATTTGTAAAATGGGGAGCAATACCTTCCCAACAAAGCCATTCTAAGGAATTAAATGAGTTAATACATATAAAACACTTAGAACAGTGCCTAGCACATAGAAAACACTCAAAAACAAGTTATTATTACCCATTCCCTGCCCTGCCCCACCCAACAGGCAACTTGTACTTTTATAAGCATTCATTTATTCCACAGACTTGAGTCTTATATGCTACACGATGGAAATATGAATATGCATAAGAAATGTTCTGCACTTACCTGCCTCCACACCCATTTCCCATGTGATTCCTCTTTGCCCCAAATGCCCCTTTCCATCTACAGATATCCTACTTATCCTCAAGGTCCAAACCAAGTCAGACATCCCCTCAGATATGAGCCTCTGGTTCTGCCACATCAACCCATCAGGATGTATCCTCCTATCAGCGAATCTGCTGTGGTACTCTCTGTTCCTCATTCATAAGTCTTAATAGCCTACCTCAAATTATAATTTCTCATGCAGATAGTACATCTGTTCCACCCAAATCAATTATGAGGTTCCTAGATTAAAAAGAATGTCTCATTCTCATCTCTGTAGTACCTTACACATCACAAGGGAGGTCAATATGTTTACTGAATCATTTGTGCTTGAAAATATGTATATTCTACCAAATATTAGCTAAACTTCCAATTCTGTCATTTTTAAAACAAAAAAGTTAACCATGGGAAGAACTAATATTTGAACCAAACTTCTTTAGAACACTATTTTTTTAATTTTTATTTAAATATTTTATATTTTTATTTTTTAATTTAAATCCAATTAATTAACATACGGTGCAATATTAGTTTCAGAAGTAGAGCTCAGTGATCATCAGTCTTAAATAACACCCAGTGCTCATTACATCATGTGCCCTCCTTAATGCCCGTCACCCAGTTACCCCATCCCCCCACCCCGCTCCCCTCCAGTAAACCTGTTTGTTTCCTATGATTAAGAGTCTCTAATTTTTGACAACACCTAATTCATTACTCACCTCATCCAAGGATCCAAGTAGTTTACTAAGAGGCTTAGGAGTACCAACACTGTCAAGTGGAGTGCTGGGCCGAGGCATCGTGGCAGACATTGTCAGGGAGGGGGCTGGCAGTCCAGGAATAAAAACCTTTCCCACCTTTAAGCAATAAAAAGATGTGGGGAAAAATACTGGCTTTAATGTGTCATATCCTTAAATAAAACGTTATGGCATGTAAGCATAAATTTCTTTCGATATTCCACATTTTACACACACCGAACACGTCTAAAAAATGAAAAGAAATAAAATTTCAGTAATTCCCCCATCCAACTACAAATATCTTGGTATAATTTCTCTTGGTCTGATTCCTTCTCTTCATTACGGAGCACTTATTTTGGGCAGGAAAGTGGGTGAATGCTAATATGGTCAGAACATAACACAAAATCCCATATACTACGCATTTTCCTACTGTACTGGTGGTAGAGACAGCAGGGACACTAAGCTTGCAGAAACTATAAGCAGCAATCTTGTCAACAAAATCTCCGGGCAGAGAGAATAAACATCAATTACTTCCGAGGCGCTAAAAAAATGAAGCTGACTGATGCTCCAGAAATTAAATCCAATGTAATCCAAACTGGGCTCTTAAGCTCATAATCTGCCTTCTTCCCTCAAATACTTCCTCAAAACACTTTATACGTATTCTTCATTAAAAGAGTGAGTGGATAATCCATGCTAGCCACCCCTTATTTTGGCTATCCATGGGGTTCTCAGGAAAAACACAAGAGAAGTTCAGATCCACATAGGCCAAAAACTCTGATAAGATTCAAAGGAAATACTCAGAACGCAAGTGAAATTCTAACAAAACCCACATTTATGTCCATATACTACCCAAAGCTAATAAAATTACAAAGCTACCCAAATAAAATCCTCAGGATTAGAAAACAAAATGAGGGCGAAAACCAGTATATATAAAGTTTTTAAAAAGCTACAAGAGGGCGCCTGGGTGGCTCAGTCAGTCAAGTGTCTGCCTTTGGCTTAGGTCCTGGGATCGAGCCCTGTGTCAAGCCCCACATCACCACATGGGGCTCCCTGCTCAGTGGGGAGCCTGCTTCTCCCTCTGCCTATGCTCCTTCCCCTGCTCATGCTCTTTCTCAAATAAATAAAACCTTTTAAAAAATAAAATAAAGGGCGCCTGGGTGGCTCAGTTGGTTAAGCGACTGCCTTCGGCTCAGGTCATGATCCTGGAGTCCCAGGATCGAGTCCCACATCGGGCTCCCAGAGTCTGCTTCTCCCTCTGACCCTCCTCCCTCTCATGCTCTCTGTCTCTCATTCTCTCTCTCTCAAATAAATAAATAAAATCTTTAAAAAAAAAA